TGCTTGTGTCAGCCTCAGATGCTTGTGTCAGCCTCAGATGCTTGTGTCAGCGCAGATGCTTGTGTCAGCCTCAGATGCTTGTGTCAGCCTCAGATGCTTGTGTCAGCGCAGATGCTTGTGTCAGCCTCAGATGCTTGTGTCAGGGGGCGAGACTCCTGGAGAGGCAGTGGCACAATTTAAACGCAGGAATAGATTGCAGCGGTGATAGGCAATAGTGTGAGGGAGCAGTGAGAGTAGTGTGGGGGGCAGTGAGAGGCAGTGAGAGGCAATAGAGGAGGGAGCAGCAGGAGGGCAGTGCAGGGAGCAGTGAGGGGGCAGTAGTGTGAGGGCAGTAGTGTGAGCAGTGGGGAGGCAGTAGAGTGGTGTGAGGAGGCAGTAGTGTGGAGACGGTGAGAGGTAGTGTGAGAGGCAGTGGGGAGCAGTGAGAGGCAGTAGAGAGAGGCAATAGAGTGAGGGAACAGTGAGAGGCAATAGAGTGAGGGAGCAGTGAGAGGCAGTAGTGTGGGGGAGCAGTGAGAGGCAGTAGAGACAGGCAATAGAGTGAGGGAGCAGTGAGAGGCAGTAGTGTGAGAGGCAGTAGTGTGGGGGAGCAGTGAGAGGCAGCAGGTAATAACAGGTAAGTGAATGATTGATAGTCACGACCTCCCGGCGTCTCACACCTGTTAAGTGTAGCGTGGCGGTGAAGGCTGACTGAGAGACCTGTCCATTAATGCCTTTCCCTGTCTGCCTGTCTGTCTGTTTGTCTGTCCGTTAGTTTCTTTTTGCTTATCTAGCATTATTTGTTTTTTTGTCTTTCTCACGTCTATTTGTGTCTGCCTGTCTGTTTTGTTCTGTTTAAATTTCTTCCTGTCTGTCTCTTTTTTCTGTCCGCCTCTCTTGTGTATCTGTCACCCTCTCTGTCTCTGATGTTTATTTTTGTCTTTTCTCTGTATCTCTCTGTCTTTCTATCTCTTTTCTAACAGGTTCTCTCCCTCCCTCCCTCCTTCCCTCCTTCTGTCTCTCTATAACATTTACTATTTTTCTCTCTTTCTCTCTCATTCTCTCTTTATCATCCAAGCGTTTTTGAGAATTTAATAATAAAGTAGTTCCTTGGGTGTGTTTTATCAGTCCACTACCCCCGTCTACACCACTGATACTGTTTTTTCCTGTTGAGTGAGAGTTTTATTTTGTTTTAGAACGGCTTCGTCATCTTGGCTACGAGTGCAAGAGTTTTGATAGAAGTTCAACCTGGTAACTGACTCCTCGCATTCCATTTGTTTCTTATAATATTATCAAACTTGCTTCCTTCTCTAGCGTCAAGATATAATTACTCTGACGTGATATTATCTCTCTCTCACTCTCTCTATGTAAAAAAAAAAAGCTATGGATAAATACTCAGTAATTCCTAATTTATTTCATTATTTGTCGGGTTTTTTCCACATTTCTTTTTCATTGACTTTTTCCAGACCCCCACACACAAAATGCAATGGAAATTTTCATCTTTTCAGATACTTTTAATCATACTCCAATAAGAATAATTACACGGTTCCAACATCCACTTCTCCCATTTAAATCCATAATGTACTTCCCTCCCTCAGCACACTACCAGGGCCACCATTCTCAAAGTCGGGATCAATGTAATGTACTGTAACGTTCCCACTGACCCCCGATACCCTTCCTGTTATACCGGATGACTATACTATATATACAATACTCTCTGCCATTCGCTTGGTATACGCTTCCCTCTGTCACACATAATCTATACACGCTTATCACTTAATCTATCACATTTTATTTATTTTTATCGTAGTTTAATCAGCACCCAACACTTTCCTATTATTAAACTTGGTGATAGTAATTAATTTTCCTTGTAAGACCATCCTAAGTTCCCTTTTAAAACTTTGTCAACTTTTCTTGATTTTTCATTCTTTCTTTGATGATTTTTTTCTCTTTCTTTCTTTCTTTCTTTCTTTCTTTCTTTCTTTCACCATCCATGTATATTATTTTTCTTTCGTTCACTTCTTTCTTGTAGCTGATGTTTCTTTGTTGTTTGTTTCTCCTTGACTATCCCAGCCAGCTTCGCATCCTGCCGTTCACTTGTTTGCAATTATTGTCTAAACTTCAGTTCTTCTTTAACCTCTTTCATACATCTTTATTTCAGTGTATATATTTTCTCTCTTCTTTTAATTATTTCACCGTATCACCGTTTTTTCTTTTGCACTTATTCTTCCAGTCTCTATTAGTCTCCTCTTAGCATACTATCTATCAATCTTTCTCCATTTCCTCTCATTCCCGTCATCCGCTGTTACGTTTAAGACCCTCCAATCATGTTCCTTATACCTGATACTGAAACTATAAGGGCAAGTATTCAGGTCGTCTCACAACCTCCACCTTTATAACCTCATGTGAAACTGACCTTACGTACCATCGCTTATTCCCACACGTCCCCAGTCACACCACACTTGATCTCACATTTACTCTTAAGAAACTGATAACTATGTATCTCTCACTCATCCCCAGCAGATTTTTCTCTTGTCATTCAGTATTGTACACCCCCCACCACCCCATTCCATCTCAGGTGTGGTGTGAAATCTTCCATTTCCTTCTTTCCTGGGCGATAATCTCAGGCATTTTTGGATCTTTTGTATATATATATATATATATATATATATATATATATATATATATATATATATATATATATATATATATATATATATATAGAGTATGTGTATCTCAAGCATCTGTCATCGAGCCACGGTGAAACATTACCGTCGTCCCCGTAAACACGACCATCAATTTAAGTAACATTTGGTGAAAATTATTCCAAGACCAAAGCTAATTTTCTCCTCTTTTATTGAACCACTTTACCAGTTATCTTCTGAAGCCTTTTATATGAGTGTGTCGTCTTCCTTCTCTCAGTATAACTGCCTTTTAATTCCATTGTCTCAGCCCACACCTGTCTCAGCCCACACCAGTCTCAGCCCACACCTGTCTCAGCCCACACCAGTCTCAGCCCACACCTGTCTCAGCCCACACTAGTCTCATCTTGTAATACCAGTTAACTTTTTTTCTCAGTCCATTCATTTACTTCAACTATCACCCCTTCAACTCTGGCCTTTCAACTCAATTCTGCGATTTATCCATTCATGAGTTCAATTCTTTTCAGTCTTCACCCTTTTAGCAGATGGCTTTTTTTATCTTAACCCTTTCAATCCTGACCATTTTTACCATCACCCTTTCATTCCTGGATAATTCACCCTTTTTTCAGTTTTGGGAAGTTCAACTTTAATCCTTTCAGTTCATCCTTCTCAAACCTCAGCCCTTTCAACCTTTTCACTTGCCTTGATGACGGCAAAAAAAACTAAAATAGTTTTTCTTTCAGTCATGGTAATACTTTTTCTTAATTTATGTAAATAAAATTCATTCTCATATATAAAGATTTTCTCTCCCTCGTATTTAGTTTTTTTTTTATATCTACATTTTCTTTGTTGTTTATATTTTTATTTGTTTTTTACCTGATTTGTTATTATATTTCCGTGTTGTGTTATTTCCCATGGCAGTTCATTTATATATTTATTTTTTTACATTTTATTCGTTAATTTTGTTGTTTTCTATTTTTTCTACCTTTTTAAGTTTTTGTGTTTGTCCCTTTTTTATTAACCGTTTTAATGTCTATTTTATTTTATCGTTGTGTGTGTCTGTTCTTCTTTGCTTAGTCGACTTTATATTCTTTTATCTATCTGACGTGTGATTTTAATCAAATTTATTGAAACCTAACCGTAAGGTAACCTGAATTAAACTAACCTAACCTAAAATAGCTCTCTCTCTCTCTCTCTCTCTCTCTCTCTTTCTGGAATCTTGCCCCAAATACAGTGTCGTGGCGGGGATGATCTTGAATAGAACACACGCATTATGGAGCTCCACGGCGGGAAGTGTGGGAGGGAGAGAGAGGGAGAGATAAGATCATCTTATGTTATTAGGATGTATTTAACAGAGTAAGAAGGGATATAAAATAGATAGATAGATAAGAGGGGGAGAGAGAGAGAGAGATACTGGCAAAAGGAGATAAGGAAAATTGAAGAGAACATGACAAGAGAGAAAGAAAGAGAGGTAGAACGGAACGAATCGAGAAGAGACAGACGTAAAGATAAAGTAAGAGAAATACAGAGAGTTTTACCCAATTTGTCTCGTCATCATCATCATTATTATTATTATTATTATTATTATTATTATTATTATTGTTATTATTATTATTATTATTATTATTATTATTATTATTATTATTATTATTATTGTTATTATTATTATTATTATTATTATTATTATTATTATTATTATTATTATTATTATTATTGTTATTATTATTATTATTATTATTATTATTATTATTATTATTATTATTATTATTATTGTTATTATTATTATTATTATTATTATTATTATTATTATTATTATTATTATTATTGTTATTATTATTATTATTATTATTATTATTATTATTATTATTATTATTATTATTATTATTGTTATTATTATTATTATTATTATTATTAACCATTTTTTGTGTTATTTGCTTCTGATGTCATTGGGTTTGCGATTTATAGTTCATCTTTAAATACCTTAAATTAAAAATGGTTTCCATAGACGTCACATATGAACTCTTGAGCATAACGCTTCCTTCACTAACTGGTGGTAACTCGATATTAAACATTATATATTTTTTTTTACGAACAACAGAAACGAACAAGATTCATCAACATTGGAAAACCATAAACAAAACTATATTACTTTATTATATGGTTAGGTGATATGAATTACCTGTGGGTTAGCCCCCGTTTATTTGGTTAAGTTAGGTTAGGTTAAGTTAGGTTAGCGTTAGGTTAGGTTAAGTTAAGTTAGGTTAGGTTAGCATTAGGTTAGGTTGGAATAACGTCAGAGTGGTTAATCTTAAGGTGAAATAAGCTGGGATAAGTAATCTTAGGTCCAGTATGAACAACAGGTGTAGACGAGAACTTTACCTTGACCCAGGTGTTTGTGTGATGGTCCCAGGTGCAGCAGATGTGGTGTTAATCAGGTATTGTTGGCCTACACACCTGGCCACGGCTCCTTGTGTCTCACCCCAGCCATCGTTCTCAGTGTGTTACGTGTACCTCAACCTTATTTTCTATATCTGTGTTATGTTACGTTTTCTCTTCGAGTCAAACCTTCTATGACAGCTTCTCAATCACGTTTATTTATTTATTTATGGGGGCTTTTGAGTCGCATTTTCTTTGACAATTCCTGAGTTATATTTTCTTTAACGTTTGCCTCGCGTTCTCCATCACACCTCTTGTCTCTCGTGACCCTCAGTATATTGGTTCAAAGGTTCACCATACAGTGTTTCTGCTGAATATGTGAGTTTAGTATATTTTTTTTTCTCTCTTCCTTAGCTACCACCACTGGCTCTGTATGGAAATGACTCACTCACTGATTCACTGACGGAGAGAAATTTGTTAGCTCTGCCTCGCCTTAGTAGAATAACTGGTACTTGCTGGATGATCTGGTCTCATCACTATTTGTTGACGAAAGTTTTGGGTAGTGTGTTAACGTCTTCATGGTCTGGAAGGAAAAAAATAATATCCACGTTAATCTCTTTTTCAAAAACATTCTGTAAATAATGGGTAGAGTGAGTCAGACACGTAATCCTGCTGTATACTGAGAGGGGAGGGAGGGGGGGGGGGATAATTTACAGGTTCATGAGGGACATATATACCAAAGTGTTGTGATGTAAACAGGATAACCATAAAATCTCAAATATACTTCACACACGAGATAAATTGTTTGGGTGTGAAGTTCTTATTAGTTTTCCTTCAAATCTATGGATGTAAACAGAGTAATCATTATTTGGGTTATGCAAAAGAAAGAATGTATAGTTACTTTACTATTTGGAATGCAAACTCATGAATTTGATTTTCTTTTAGCAAGTTTTCTGAACAATAATTTGGTTGAAGCTAGATGTCTTATTCTGAGTTAGTTACCATGGTTGTTGATGTTATTGATGTTATTATTGTATTTTTAGGTTTAATACATCAGTCCAAATTTTTTGTTGTTAAGGAGTTTAAGTAGAGAGAGAGATAGAGACATAGAGACAGACAGACAAAGACAGACAGATAGATAGAGACAGACAGACAAAGACAGACAGATAGATAGAGACAGACAGACAAAGACAGACAGATAGATAGAGACAGACAGACATTGGACAGGTGGTGAGCGTCAATGAGTGATCTTGAAGAAAATTTGAACCCGGGATTATAGTGAAGCTCCTGGGACTAGACGACCCTGAGCAGTGATGAGGGAGACATGTATAGATAGAGTGAGTGGGAGAGAGAGATGAAAGAAAGAGAACAACGTGTAACGGGGATAAATGGAGAGAGAGAGAGATGAAAGGCAGAGAATTGGAGATAAAGAGAGAATATGGACTAGAGTGAGAGATAGTGGAGAACAAACATACACCCAGACACAAAACGATAAAAGCACACACAGACATACAGACAAAGAGATTATATGTGTGTGTGTGTGTGTGTGTTTTATAATCGGTTCGAACGGCGTACTGAGAAAGCCGTGTTGACCACAAAGCCAGGCCGCCAAGAGCTTCCATGAATGAATAATTAAAGACTTGTTTATCACGGATACCTGGGATAAGGGGGAGGGGAGAGGCGGGGTACGATGACGGAGGGAGGGAGGGGAGAGGGTAGATATAATGGAGGAGGAAGGGACGGAAGGTGAGAGTGGAGAAATGATGAAGGGAGGAAGAAAGGGAGGAATGAAGTGAAGGTAAAAATGTAGAAGGAAAGATGGAATGAAGAAGGAGAGTCGTAGAAATGGTGGAGAGATTTACCAGAGACGGTAGAACTGAGGTGTAAAGTTGAGAGAGAGAGAGAGAGAGAGAGAGAGAGAGAGAGAGAGAGAGAGAGAGAGTAAAATTGAGAGGGAAGAGATCTAAGGAGACAACTGAAGGGGCTGTATAGATTGAGAGGGGAGAAAGTGAAGATGGTGGGAGTGGTTGTAATACAAAAAAACCTAAAAGGAAATAACATCACATGAAAAAAAGAATTGATAACCTATGGAAATTGTCCTCATATTTAGACATGGCAAAAACAGTCTCCACAGAAAACCTTCTAGCAATACCAAATAGCTACTGGTAACATCCTAGTAGCCCCCAGTAACATCTAGAACCCGCCCAGTTACACCTAGCACCTCCCAGTAACACCTAGCACCTCCCAGTCTCACCAGCACCTCCCAGCAACCACATTATCCTTCAAGAACGCAAACTGGTTAATTAAAATTTTCCCTCTTCTCTTCTTGTAATTATTTGTCAGTTTCGTAGAGAAGGAGAGACGTGAACAGAAAAATAGAGAGAGAGAGAGAGAAAGAGAGAGAGAGAGAGAGAGAGAGAGAGAGAGAGAGAGAGAGAGAGAGAGATGAACACTAAGGGACAGTCACAACACAACATTCACATACGGTTCTGTTTATTTATGCTGTTTTTTTTTTCTTCTTTTTTTTAATATACCTTTATAATTCAACAAGACATCTAGATACTTTGTTACCGTTTATATCTACGTTCCATTCTTCACAATATTCCTCCATAAACTTAAGAACATTACAATACCTTTCTCACTATTGGCCAGAATAAGTGTCATCTGCTTACATTAATACCAGAAATTTCAACATCACATCTAACCATTCTTCATTAAGAAATATTCACAATATGTTTCAAACAAGAACCCTTCAAGATCATTAACATCTAGTGAAAATACAATGGGAGAAAGATTTTTTCCTTGTATAACTCCCATTAGACATCCCTCCAAACAAGGTCAATATACGTAGAGGTAAAAAAAATATATATATATATTGAAAATAGTCAATCACATTTTTAATATATGATCAATGGTAGCATATCCTCCCGGAAAATGTCATTTAACAAGGATGTAAATAATTGTCCTACACAACTTAAAAGAGTTATACCTTTATAAGCATATACAGAACAGTACTTTTCCCTCATATCACCTTATATATGGCAACTATAAGAGACCTATAAACCGGTAACTCTCCATTAACAAACACGTTTATTTATAGCGGACATAACAGAACTCTATATAATATTCAATAACTATTTTGTCAATATTCTGGGATAAATTGTTTTTAAGATTGTCTCTGCATTTCATTATTTCATCTTCTGTAATGTTAGCATTCAATATATATATATATATATATATATATATATATATATATATATATATATATATATATATATATATATATATATATATATATATATATATATATATATATATATATATATATATATATATATATATATATATATATACACTAGCAGAATCGCCGCCCTCGGCGGCTCATCCGCTAGGCAACGGTAGGACGCTACCCTCCGGGAGGCTCCACATTGTCTCACTGTTCAGTCCCCAAAACTTCTTCACCAGTAGTTCATTAACGGTGTATATAAGTTCTACCATGTTTTTCACTACAACGGTACAGCAAAGTATATTTTTTTAGCATTAAACTGTTATTATTTTATTGTCTTATCATCACTGCATATAACACCACCCATCATCACTACAAATAACATCATCCATCATCACTACATATAACACCATCCATCATCACTACATATAACATCATTCATCATCACTACACATAACACCATCCATCATCACTACATATAACACCATCCATCATCACTACATATTACACCACCCATCATTACTACATATAACAACATCCATCATCACTACATATAACATCATCATCCATCATCACTACATATAACACCATCCATCATCACTACAGATAACACCATCCATCATCACTACATATAACAACATCCACCATCACTACAGATCGGTAAAGTAGTTTCCGAGATTCTCGTGCGGACACACACATACACAAACACACAGACATACTTATTTTATATATATATATATATATATATATATATATATATATATATATATATATATATATATATATATATATATATATATATATATATATATATATATATATATATATATATATATATATATCACACCCACCACACACACTCTACCACACTTTACCACACTTTCCTTATCGTTGTATTTAGTAAATTTTTCACTATCAATGTTTCAATTGTCTATGTCGTCACCTCACCTGTTAATATTATAAGTGGTTTTGTAGTCTCTCTCTCTCTCTCTCTCTCTCTCTCTCTCTCTCTCTCTAACTAACTTTATCTCTGTCTGTCTGTCTTTGGCTCTCTAATAATAATAATAATAATAATAATAATAATAATAATAATAATAATAATAAACCACTGTTCGCCCCAGAGATAAATCCCTGAGTTTCCAGACCCTGCCGCGTGGAGGCCAGTGGTGAGAGGGTCCTTTTTTTTTTTTTTTTTTTTTTTTTAGGGTTGTTGTCGGTGGCAGAAGTCTGGTCTGGCCTTATGTCCTCAGGCCAGACATGGGGGGAAGCTGGTCACCAGGCTTAGGAGGTGACTTATGCCCTGCTCCACCTGATTAGGCAGACCAGTGATGATAACTTCATCATTGTTGTTATTTTTATTGGGAAATACGATATTTATTTTCAGTGATTGAATAATGGGTCGAATGTTTTGACCACGATGACCGATGATCTTCCCGTGTAGGGCCTTGGGGATGAAGAGCGTTCGGCTTACTGGTGTGGTGACCCGACGCCGCTCCTTCTCCTCGTCAATCATCGCCTTTATGTGGAGGGCGGCTTCCTTAACGAGAGTTTTGTTTTTGCCTTCAACCAGGATGGGCTCATCCTTTGACCCCTTCCGAGGAACACGCACCTGCACCTTGTATTGGTCGATTATTTTTTTCACGGTGGACCCCCCAGGGCCAACGACAATGCCTAACAGGCAGTTTGGAGCCTGGACAGTCTCCAGTGCCGTCTCTTCGACCCACTGGGCCCTCATGCGGGAGACCGATGGTGGTAGAGGACGACTTTTCTCTTGTTTGGTCTTCAAACTCATAATTATTTAATACTAGTAACAGCGGAGGACCAGACCACAAGACTCAGAGTTTGAGGTGTAAGAAATAATGTAGTAAGAGGCTGTTATAGTGAAACTCTTATAAGGAACATGTAGCTAATATCTATATAAAACAAAAAAGTATGTCTGTTTGTGTGTCCTCACGAGAATCTTGGAAACTACTTTACCGATCTGTAGTGATGATGAATGGTGTTATATGTAGTGATGATGGATGGTGTTATATGTAGTGGTGATGGATGGTGTTATATGTAGTGATGATGGATGGTGTTATATGTAGTGGTGATGGATGGTGTTATATGTAGTGATGATGGATGGTGTTATGTAGTGATGATGGATGGTGTTATATGTAGTGATGATGGATGATGTTATATGTAGTGATGATGGATGATGTTATATGTAGTGGTGATGGATGGTGTTATATGTAGTGATGATGGATGGTGTTATGTAGTGATGATGGATGGTGTTATGTAGTGATGATGGATGGTGTTATATGTGTATTGATGGATGGTGTTATGTAGTGATGATGGATGGTGTTATGTAGTGATGA